AGCGGTGGCTGCGGAGCCTGCTGCCGCCTCCCACTGCTAGGGCCGCTCCGGCCCCACGGAGCCTTCCGTATTCCCCCGCCCTTCGAGCCGTGGGGGGGCTGCGCGGCCTACTTTCCAAGCTCCTGGCCGTAACGTGGTGAGCGAGCGATGTGGGACCTGCATCGAATGCTTTGCTATGGGGCCCCTCGGCCCGGCCCTGCTGTCTATCTTTTTTTCCCCACCCACTCACCCTACCTTTCTAGGGGCCCATTGTCTCCGGTCTCCGGCCACAATGGGCTTTGCTCCCTAGTATGATGTATATTAGGAATTGTGCAGGCTTGGGGCAAAGAGGAGACAGGTTACTGGTTACAAATTTCCTGATGGGGGATAGCAAGATTTTCACAAAGTCACAGGAAAATGTATATTACGTTGTTCATACAATTGGTGGCCTTATACTTGGGCTGGCTAGTGTGCCATTTTGGTCCTCGAAAGCTAAAGCCAGTTTGGTGTAGTGGTTAGGAGCGCAGACTCTAATCTGGGAGAACCAGGTTTGATTCCCCACTCCTCCACATGCAGTTGCTGGTGTGACCGTGGGTCAGTTATAAGTTCTTTCAGAGCTGTTCTGTCAAGAGTAATTCTCGAAAGAGCTCTCTCATCCCCACCTACCTCACAGGCAATGCTCCCTCTAAGCTGTGGAGTCTTGTGAGCAAAAATTCTACTTTGTGAGCTACTGGCAATAAGTTGTGGACAAGCAATTTGGCTATTGCATAAATTAGTTTGCTCTGGATCCATCCTTTCCAAGACAAAAATGTGCGAGTTGGAGGCTAAAAACTGTGAGCTTGCTAACACTAACTCAGCTTAGAGGGAACATTTTTCACAGGGTGTCTGTTGTGGGGGAGGAGAAAGGAAAGGAGATTGTAAACCACTCTGAGACTTCTTCAGGTAGTGAAGGGTGGGGTATAAATCCAATCTCTTCTTCTCTTCTTCTTCTAAAAGCATTTCAGTTACAGATGGCTGGCTTTTGCAATCTCCTGAACAAATGCTGGAGTGAAGTGTGTGTTGTGTGTGTGAGAGAGAGACAAACAGATTGTTGTACCTAAGTAGAGGTTGAGCTTGTATGATTTAAGGCCAGATATTACAATCTAATTATAAGGCCGACATTACAATGTAAGACCTCTGTACAGAACTAACAGGTTCCGCCTGTGATAAAAATTCATAAGCAGGGATGCTGAGAAACAACATGAGCTCCTAGACAAAATTCCATCTGGTCCCCTCATGAACCTGACCCCCCAAAAATTGCCTGACTCTCTGTTAATGTGAATAAAGAAATAAGTAGATAGGAAACAAGAGACATGATTATTAAAGAACGATTTTACTTCGCATCATTCAGTAGTTCCTTAAGGCTTTATATTTATACTAGAAATAAGGCCTGTTGTGGAAATAAATACAACGAGATCTAGAAAGAGGCTCTGGGAGAGTGCTCTGGCTTTGGGCAAACAGTGTCAGTCTGCTTTTAAAACATGAACCTGGGACCTGCACACCACCAGAATACAGCAGATTCCATATGCAACTGACATTCCAACTGCCTTGCGGGGGGGGGGGGGTTTGAGGGGTGGAATGGAGTGAAGTCCAATCAGCTTCCATATACAAAAGACCAGGTTGTCGCAGCAGTTGTGGTGTGGGTGGGACCCGAGCTTTGCCTTCTGATTGGTGGCGATATATGCTGAGGAGCAGTGCCATCAGCCATACACTAAGGGAGTGCATTTTAGAATTAGAACTTTGGCACCCACTATTCAATTATATATAAGGAGAGATAGTTTATAGATCTATAGAAGTATTCATAATTGTGTAACAGAAGCAGGGGCAGTTTTCACACCTCTTTTCAGGAAAACTGTTACTGCCAAAAATGCCCTTCTATTTATTAAAAAAATCTGAAAATTCCCCTGTTTTCTTTGCATCAGCCCAACAATTTTCTGTTCATCTAATCAGATTACATTGCCTGTTCCCCTTGATATTTTTTCTATGACCTTGTATCTAATTTTGTAATATTATATTTACACACACATGTATATGTCTACCAGTTTATAATCTCAGATTTCACATGTGTTTTATGTTTTTAAAACCGCAAATGCAAATTATAGTCACATATTTAAGGTAGAGTTTGGTTGCTTTGATATAAACTGAAACGAAGACATTCACCATTCCACAACCTCTAGTTAAGCCCGTAGCCATGGGGGCCATTTGGGGGCAATGCGCCCATGGATGAGTGCTGCCCCAGCAGACAAAAATTCAGGGGGGGGGGATTGTTTAAAATGTAAGATGTGCATGGGGTTTCCAAAATGACTCCGGGCACAGTCAGGGAAGCTTCAGTCTCATTTTCTTTTTTCTGGGCCAACAAATAAATATGTTTTTTTTTACAATGCTAATAAAATAAAATAAAATTGCAAAATGCAGAAGAGAGAGAGTCAGAGATCCCCCCTCCCTCCCCGGCTTACACAGAAAAGCAGCCCAGAATCAAGTCTCTCCAATCGAAAGGACTGGAGGACTAGAGGTCACAATGGAGCTGGATCTGCTGCTTCTTCTGTTGCAAGAGGAGCAGCAGGTGTGCCTGGGGTGCCCCCCCCCCAGATTTCCCTATGCCCCACCAACCAAAATTTTCTGGCTACCTCCCTGCCTCTACTACAGATTGATGGATGTGGAATGGTATACTGCAGCCTGATCTCTTCAGATCTCAGAAGCTAAGCAGGGTCAGTACTCGCCTGGGAGACCACCAAAGAAGACTCTGCAGAGGAAGGCTATGGCAAACCAGCTTTACTTCTCACTTGCCATAAAAGCCCCTTGCTGGCTGTGACTTGATGGCATTTTACATACATAATACTATATTACTGTATATAGTTTGCTATAAATTGGATCCTGCTGTGTAATTTTGCACCATGTAATGTGTGATTTAGTTAAAATAACAATAAATAAAATAACAATACAGGTGTGACAGAATTGCACAGAATAGCAGTCTTTTCTGAAATGCTGCTTGTATCAGAGAGTCAGGGAGTGCAAGAATTAATCTTCCCTAGAGAGAAGAGCTTAAGTGATTGGCTGCTCTGCTCACTCTCCAATTAGCCAGCATCAGCTGAGAGATATATGAAACAGCTGATCTGGAGGGAAAAGAGGTCTTTTGCTGTTTGGTCATACTAACACCTGGATCAGTAGCCAGAGGGTGGCATCTGAGGGAAGAGACATTTGGGAGTCAGTGTTTTCTGACAGGCAATAGTCAGAAATGTACTTCTACAGAAAGAAGAAAAACTCCACTGCTCTGAAGGAGAACACAGGCCTCAGTCACTCGGGCCGGAAAATGCGGGGGGGGGAGCGTGGCTGTTTGCCCTGGAGCAAACTAATGGGCGGCCGCCGGATCCCACGTCCCGCCGACGTCCCGTGGTTCGGGGGGAGGTGGCAATCACACGACGATCCTGCAGCACGGCAAAGAAGCGGCACGGCGCGATCTCACCAACGGCATGCACGATTCTGTGAAGCAACGGAACTTTCACTTTCCTCCTTGTGCGCATGCGCCATTGGGTGTTTCTGTGCATCCTGTGGAGACTTGGGGAAAAAAAACTGTTTGCGACGGGACATGGGCGGGCGCCGGATGTCACAGACTACCACCAGAAACGCGAT